GGCATAGGCCATGTTGTTTGCTGAAAGTGTTTTTTCCCATCTTTGTGTTTTTTTATCTTTCAACCACACATGAACACACCCGATTCCCCCCCCCTGCCGCACCCACCCCCTGGCTCAAGCACACGCGCGCAGAATAGTGGGTGTGGCCTTCACTGTATATTGTGTATGTGTAGTGCTTTATGTGTCTCGATATATAGGCACACACACACACACATGCACACATTCTCATTGAACCAGAATAATTTTTCTAAAACATCAGACCCGGTGAACGGATGTTGATCTTCCTGTTGATTTTTCTGGTTCCATAACATGAACAGCACAAACAAGTGGAATATGCGCCTCCCAAACCTGATCTGAATGGGTCACACTTTCAGTGTTTGTCTTCCCCATCACCCGGTTCTATCATATTCATGAACTTTATAATATCTCCGATATTGAAATAATCACAGTAACCTGTAATTGTTTTTGACTTCGCAAACAACGGGATCAATTAACCCAGACACCGGACTGTTCTCATGTATAAATTTTCATTTCGGATCCCTCATAATACGAATAATCCCGTCTAGAATTGTCCCCTGTCTACCGACTCACAGTAAAAACACCTTCGGAATTCCAGCTGCGAGAGACAGAGAGAGAGCTACTTGGAATCAGTTGATTTGGCTCTTGTTGATCAGTAGTCAGTCGGGGAATCGCATCACTGACCCAACCCGGGGAGGTGGGCGGGGCGGAGCACGAGAAACAAATAATCACGGGCGGTTGAAACTGTCACTCAGTCGAATATTCCGTGTTTTTTACTAAACATTTTAGTCTAGCCTGTGTGAGTGGGTGGGGAGGAAGGAACCGGTGGAGGTTCGGGTGAGCGTATTTCCGTACAGAATGTCTCCGGTATGCCGGTGTAGTCGTAGCGCCCACTTAACATGATCGTAATGTTCAGTCGGATCTAAACCGATTGTATGTATGTACGTTGATCATGAATGCTGAGTTGATTGAGCACGATGTAAACTGTTCCGGAAATGGGGATTGGCCAGATCCCCTGTTGTTGTTGTTGTTCATCCCTGAAAAAGGTTGACCGGTGGAACGGGTGAGGTGTGTAGTGTTGGTGGAGGAGGTGCTGGTTGAGTGAATTTGTTCAGTAAACTGCATGTCCGGTAAGAAGTGGCTAAAAACAAATAACAAGATTGAAATCCCCCTGATTCCTACGCATACCCCATTTTCGTGCGTGTTGATTGAAATTAGCAACACTGGGGTTTTACAGATCTGTAACAATGGAAACAGATTTGACCATTTTGAACCGTGTTAAACAAGAGTTAAATGTAAACGATAGAAAGAGAGCAAATAATCGTATTTTTTTAACGTACAGAAGGAAATCAGTTTAATTTGGATCAAGTTTTCGCTCTTTCACATTGCAGTGCGGCTTGAAACTTTTTCTACTCAAGCAAAATTTTGATGATGTGTACAAAATTGAAATAAGATGGTGCTGAGAAGTATGGGAAGGCCTAGCTATTATTGCGCGAGTTTTGAATAGTATTTTACTTTCTAACCCGGAGGTCTGATACCGGTAATCTATAGTTTTTTTGTCTTTCTTGAACCGAACCACCCATCCTACCTAAGGGAAGAAGTATCCCTGAAAGTGAATACGTGTTCGAAACAAGTCTGAACTGCCTCCGGACCCCGGATCCTGTGATTCAGTTGATTTACGCGTACTTCTTTTTGGTAAAACGATTCACTTTGGTTCTGGTCAATAACACATTTAGTAGTATTGAGATGCTTTTAATAGTTTACTACTGCAAGTCTGTAGGTACGATCCAGTTACCATTACTGTTTCGTTTGCCCTATTTCCATTCCATCATGAAAATCCGACAATTTTACCCGCTGTCTATTTCGTTCCGCTTAGAAATTCATACCAAATGCATGCGCATTCGAATGGACAATTGAATATGAAATTTTATAACTGAAACAATAATGATGATCAGTGGTATGCCTTCATTTCCCCCCAAAATAATAAATAATAAATGTCTTTTTACTTCATTTTATTTATTGAATTTACAACTATACAATCAATTTTCTGGAAAGGAGCCGCCACCATACAAATGCTGACTGGGAAAATACAGATATTGGGAAGATGGACAGCGGGATGGATTGGTTCGAACCCGGGACGTCTGGGTCACTATTTTGAAGACAAACTATGTCACAGAAATGAAGCAAGATAGACAAATGGTACTCAAAGGGACAATACGGGCAGGACACAAACGATTCAAGTCAATCCAATCAAAGGTTCCCGATAGATCATAGAAAACTCTTATCTTGGCCTGGAGAGAAACACGCAGTGGTTTTAACGAATAAGCTCGTTTTCTTCGGGTTTATACAGTTATTTGGCCAAATTCAAATGTGTTTCAATGTCTACGTGTGATTTGTCGTCATTTGTGATTGGTTTTGGTGTATAGATGGGAAAATGTGAGTAGGGAGTATGTGTTCGTAACACAGTTGGGAGAACGATTAGAATGTGGGCGTATCATCACGTGTTCGGATCGCGGGGTCACGGGGAAGGTCACGTTCATCTCGGGGGTGCAGTTCATGTTATGCCCAAGACAATCTAAGTGATTGTACGAATCGATTTTGAGAAAAATAGCGATGAGCTTAATAATCCAATGGCCTCTACGGCAGCTGTTTCGAGGTGATGTTAACGGAAGGCTTTCGAAGGGTTCGGTCGTGTACCCTGTAGATTATTTGAAATGCTTCATCGTCAACCTGATACCCGGTATCCGCAAGATAGGCTACAATAACACTTGAAATTATTTTCCTTGGGCCTGGAGGCAGCATATTTGAATTTGAATTTGACTATGTAACTGTGTAAGCCCGTTGGAAGAAGTTGGCGCAAACCATCTTGTTCGCTAAAACCACTGTGTTTTCTCTCCATGACAAGATGTACGTACATTGATCCATTCATGTGCACGTGAGCAAGCTGTACGTATACGGTTCAACGATGGCGAACAAAGAAGGCAATAGGTCAGGGCACAGAATATCTTGATCATGTACACTGAAAGCGGAATCGAACCTCATCGTTAATAAAGCACGCATTGCGAGATGGAGTAGCAAGCACATTGCTGGATCAATATGTATGTAGACCACGCGTTCCCTCACCTTCCGCTTAGTTCATGTTTTCACCATTCAAGCAAATAACCTTCAGTTAGATCAAGCCCAGTGTTAGATAGGTGCGGTGTCTTAGTGTGGTAATCAGAATAGTACTGAATGAAGGAATACGAGAACCCGTATTGTAGTGCTCAGAACTGGATTGGCTCTAGCCCGAACTGCGGACACAAATGAAATACACGGAGAATTGGTAACAAAAAGTGCCAATGTTAAGTCATAGAAATAAAACATGTTTTATAGAAAGCAACAAGCAAATTCATTGGTTGAAGAACCATCGTCCAATCACGTAACCGTTTGCGCAGACGCATTGCATATACTAACTCTGATGTACTGTTCGCCCGGTATACCTGAACTTTGAGTTGATGACATGAAACTGTACCTGGTCTTACTTGGAATGCAAATCACCACACTAAGCTAAGCGTGAATGACGCGCCAAGCCCGAAGACGGAACTGATCTGCGTACGATTTGTACTGGTGTTTAAACAATACGTTACTAAATCCGCAGGAAGTTCACGAAACAGTCAATCGCGCACAGCTGATATAGGCACCAGCTACTAGGGTCAAAAGAGCGCACAAAACTTTCGGTTGTCAAACACCGAGTAATATAAGAGAAGACACATGACCGATCATCACGAGAACTGTTCAATTAGAACAAGAAGTGGGAAATATGGGTCCATGAAAAGCACTCAAGGAATGCTCATGTACTCACAAAGTTCCAACTACTGTTAAACAATACAGATCATGTGATGGAAAAATCTAGACCCCATGTTATGTGCGTGTGTGTTTGAAAGAACCTGTACTAAATGTCTGGATAGAGGAAGTGATCAGCTATTATATCGATCGATCGATCAAAAACGGTAAATACGTCATTGCTACCAAAAAGGTGCAACAGAGAGGTTTGATATCTTAGCATGGCAGATACAACACCCAGGAACTATGCACTACATTATGCAAAAAGCTTTGAAAACAACGAAATTCTATTTCATTTGACTTGCAAGAAATTATCAGTAGTGCATACGTATAAACCGAATCGACCGGAGTTCGAAACCCAATAAGTCCTAATTGGTAATGAATAGCACTAACCACCAAGGGTTATCCTGGCTGGCTATCTGCTGTTTACTCCTAGTAACAACCGGTCTAGATGAATTATTTTTGACTCTGTGTTCCACATGTCAATATTCATTCGTCCCTTTAATCCCAAACAGGCAGCCAAAAGACAGCAAAACCAAAGCCGGTGCATGAAACGGCACGATTGATGATAATGAGAACTGAAATAAAACATAGTAACAGTACTCCTGTGAATCGTTTGTGCTGAATGGCGCACCCGGATTTAAATTCACACGTCATCTTCGACAAAACAAACCGAAATTTTACAATTAGGGTGCACGTTTTTGATTAATACTACATGAAGAACACTACTGAAAAGTGTTTTATCATGGAGTCCCCCACTTTTACATAGCTGGTCAGTTGCACTGCGCCGTTGTACCGTTAATGAAACGAGAATTTCCACTATTTCTTCCAGTTACATTCGCTCATAGAGTTATTTTAATAAACTACAGTTGCGTACATCCATATGGGTATAAGGCTGATGCGTATTTGACGGAAACTGTTTTGTTTTTCAGAAGCGAAGAGAAGGTGATGGCCGTAATAGACATGAGACGAAGTGGTCTCCTGTGAGAGCCAAGATCCGTGTAACAGCACCATACAATCAATGTTTCATTTCGCAACTAGCAAAAACACTCGATGGGGTTTTGATCGTTTCAAGCCCAGATCATTGCATATTGTTGGTGGGTGTCATTCATCACACCCCCAGTGATCTGATTCACGGTCGCTCTGTCAGTGAGTAGACTATGGTCCTCTTCATTTCTGCAGATATCATCCCAGTTGCTGGTTCTGCTGCTGACGATTATAATGATGATGATGATGATGCTGATGATGATTCGGAAGATGACGATGATGATGATGATGATGATTCGGAAGGTGATGATGATGAGGAGGAGGAGGAGGAAGAGGAGATAAGCATTATGTTATTCATAAAATAATAAACTAGATGAAAATGGGATTTTAGTTAGCATCACGGCTAAATAATTTAACTATTTTACTCAGTTGGTTATATTGTTCAGTGCTAGTCGAGCAATTCGGTTGGCGTAATTGTGCGAGAACACTTAGTTCATATCCACATTTAGAAATCAAGAAAAATGCTTACGTGCATGTCACTGGAATAAGTTTTGATATATATATATATATATATTTTTCGGGGACTCGAATTCATGCAAAACGGACACTGAGAAATCTGAAATGTGTACGGGAAAAAAACCCAGAATCATCAATTCTATCCGACATTCAATCAGAAAAATACCTGCATCATCTCGTGCAAAACCCCTCCGACTGGATCATAGACAAATCTGGGCGGGGGAGAGGATATTCCGTGCACGTCAAATCTAACCATTCGCTCGGTCGATAGTGATGTGTTTGTTGATTCTGGGCCCGGTAATTATGCATCATTGAATTGGTCGATTGGAAGCAAATTATACACTAGCCAAGTCGCCTATTTCACAACCTCATTCTGCCAACCACACGATAATGATAATAATAATAATGGTAATCGTACCGAAAGTGCCGGGGCGGGAGAAAACAGTTCTCGAGGTTTTCTTTGCTGTGTGCCATAATCACAAAAATAGTATAAACACCATTAAGATCAAACTGTTCTTTGTTTGTGTAAAAAAAGGATAATTTGAATGTACAATCATTTTATTCTTTTCAACTATGACTTATTTCAAAATTCAACTGGAACTGAACGAACGAAAGCAAATGTGATTTCTCCTTATTTGTTCTGCCATGAGCAAAAGAACAGATAGATACATACTGCAACGAACGAAGCAAATGGGCAACCGTTATTCGTTGAACTGTCTCTCGTTTTCGTGGTCATTCATTGGGGCAAGTGGTCGACTTTCATACATTGCGTTGGTTGGGCATGTGTTACGCATGTCACAAAGTAGATTGTCACCGCGAGCGATGTTTGCCGAGTCAGTTAGTGGGTGGAATAAAACCAAGAGTAGTCAAACGAAAACCTGGCATGAGGATATGAAAACCTTAACCAGGAGACTGGGTCACATAGGTCCTGTTAGGATGGGGACCTCGGGATCAGCGTAATCAATGGTTAGAGACAGGCAGTGATATGGCTAGGAATCATAAATAGTGGCGTTCATGCATCTGCTCAATTTCTTTGGAATATTAGCTCGTTGAATTTCTCCGAAATCAGCACACGCAAGTGCATGGTTCATGGTTGTACAAACTGATCCTGAAACTGCGATGTGGCCCAAGCTATCTGAAAATGTAGTCAGACATGTATTGAGTGACTGTGACAGACTAGTAGAAGTCGACCGGTGCGAGTCTGGTGTACTACCGTTCCGATTTCGAGTCCGCTTTGATGTTCACTGCTTTTTGCTACCGTAAACTACCAAATTAGCCATTCAGTACTGTTTAGTTCAAGGTTAAACTCAAATGTGGTCTTTGAGTATATAATTTTCCTGTATCCGACTTTGTCGCATCGATTATCTATAGTTAGTTTTTCCAATTGTTTTTACCCCTCAAATTCCATTTTAATCATTCTAATCACGATACCCGAGCTCATCACATAGACCTGGTGTTTGGCTTCTTAAATCCAATCGCCCCCTGTATTTTACGTTCCTTTAATTTTCCAATTAGTTTAATCGAATCAATAAATCCAAGTTTATAATTATTTAGTATCCATACTCCCATTTGGTGAGCCCCATATTCGTGATAAATGAGTGGCGAATTCAGCTGTGATTCACTTACACATTTGTCCGGTGAAATCGTGTAAA